CAGAGTGGCACACCGTGTGGTTTTAGTCGGTCCGAGTCCGACACACCACCCCGCCGCAAACCCCGGAGGGGTGACGGTCCGAGGGGATTTCCACACGTTAAAAAATAAAAAAAAGGTAGGGAAGGCATGGACCAACAAAAGTGCAATAACAATTTACAAAAAATAATGTGAACTTAAAAGTTATTATAAGACTTACAAAAACTTACAAAACAAGAGAAGCAAATCATATTGAAAAAAAAATAAAAAATAAAAAACTCCTATAAGCTTACATTTCTTGTATCTAATTCAATTCTCTTGATTCGAGCCACGGATGTAAAGTTAATATCTATTATATTGGCAAAAGGTTGAAATGCAGCAAATAATCGGGCCATTGAGTAATGCAATTTAAGGTTCGTGTGGCATTTGGGTATACAGTAATATTCTCGCCTAGTACAAGACCTAGCGTTTAATCTAGGAACATTGAGGCCAATCCTGCTGAGTAACTCGGGGCAGTTCATGGTCCCAGTCAGTAACTTGTGCAGAAAAATTATATCCAACATCCTCCTGCGACTCTTGAGAGAAGACAACCCAAAGTACTCAAGTCTTTTTTTATATGCTGTTAGTTCTTTGCACATCTTGTAACTGTAAGATAAGTGTCTTAGAAAACGTTTTTGGATTCTTTCAAGCCGATCAATATGATTCCTATAAGTGGGAGACCAGACAACACTGCAGTATTCCAGATGGCTTCTTACTAATGAGTTAAATAATATAATTTTGGTCGAAGCTTTTTTGAAGTGCTTAGACTCACGTGTGTATAACAAATCCAAGCATTTGTGAGGACTTTACAAAGACGAAATCCATATGCTCAATGAAATTTAACTTCCTGTCCATGATAATTCCTAGGTCTCGAATATGCGTAACCTCGTTAAGTAAGAGATTATTCAACGAATATTGGGTGTTAAGCAGATGTTTGTTTCTGGTAAATTTTATGTGGACACATTTTTTTACATTTAGAGCCATTTTATTTTGGACGCACCATCCACAGAGCCTATCGAGGTCTTCTTGAAGTAACAATGAGTCATTGATGCTATGGATTACTTTAGTGGCTTTAAGGTCGTTCGCAAACATATATATACTAGAATGGTGAAAGCAATGGACGATGTCATTAATGAATAGTGTGAATAGATAGGGTCCTAGATGCGACCCTTGTGGTATTCTCGAGAATGCAGTGTACTGCTGGGAACATGAACCGTTTATGACTACTCTGAGTTTTCTATTTTGAAGGTAAGATTTAAGCCAACTCAGCAAAGGCCCCGAAATTCCAAAGAGCATTATTTTTTGAACTAAGATTGATCTACCGTGTCGAAGGCTTTACTGAAGTCGGTGTAGATAGCGTCGACCTGTACTCTCTCGTCAACAGTAGTAACTAAAGAATCAACATAGGTAGTAAGGTTTGAGGCAGTAGATCTGCCCGCTAGGAAACCATGCTGCGTAGTGCTTATTTTCGGAGAGATATGCCAGGATAAATGAGGACAGACAAGAGCCTCAAACACTTTCGCAGGTACTGATAATATTCCTATTGGCCTGTAATTTTCGACATTACTCTCGTCACCAGTTCTATATACAGGAACAATTTTTGTTTCTTTCCAAAAAGAGGGAAATTTGCCCGTCATCAAAGATCTTTTGAAGATGATAGTTAACGGAGACGTTAATTTGTCAGCGTTTTTGACATAAAATATGGGCTTTATATTATCCGGTCCTGCTCCCTTATTCATATCTAGGTGCGACAATGCTCTGTTGACTTGATCATATGAAAATTCAACATTGTTTAAGTTGGTATTAATTATACTATCATGTTTAAAATCAGGCTTGGTGTAGACATTGGAAAAGTGAGAAGCAAAGAGGTCACAAATATCATCGGGTTTATCAGAGCACAGAGAGCCGTATGACATAGTGCCAGGATAGTACTGGTTCCACCTCTTTTAATTTTTATGTGACGCCAAAAGTACTTTGGATTAGTGGCTAGAATTGATTCCAGTGTGCTTGTATACGCATTATAACACATGGTTGCTAGTTTATCGCATCTCAATTTCAATAAATTAAGGTTTAGCTCATCCATGGCGTTCTTGTACTTTTTGAAACGAATTCTTACTCGATTTTTTTCATTTAGGCTTCTAATTAGTGCGTGAGATAACCAATAAGGGTAACGAGACCCTTTTATGGTTATTCGAGGTACGTACTCATCGATTAGCCTACGGATGATTGCGTAGAATACCTCGAGATTATTGTCTAGGGAAGAATTTAAGTCCAATACGCTTTGCCAGTCTACATTATCAAGGGCCCTCCCAATAGCTTCATAGTCAGCTTTAAAGTAATTAAAGTTAGACTTAGGCGTACTCTTGGGAGTTGTGACAGTACTAGTAAAAGAAATCTCACAAAGAAGTGGTTTGTGATGTCTGTCTATGTTGCAAAGTATGTCGTCTGAAAGTAGCAAGTTAATATTATCTATTTTGGATAGTACAATATCTAGAATACGGTTATTAATGTTAAGTAGGTAGTTATGTTGCTTAAGATTAATAAATAAGATAAGTTCCCATAACAATCGTTCTAATTTAGAGGCACAGTTTTGGGGTACTGTAATAATCTTAGCTTCACTATTAAGCCAATTAATTGTCTTAATGTTAAAATCTCCCAAAATTACACATTTCTCAACACATTCTAATACTCTGCTAGAATTATCGAGGAAATGTTCCAACACAGTAAGTTGAATGGGTGAGGGCAGATATACCGCACAAATGTAAATTTCATCAGTACGACCGTCTAATGGTACATATACTTTGATCCACAGGTCCTCGCAGTCGCTCTCGCAGTTAGTTAGCCTTTTAGATCTATATTTCGTGGACACTGCCACTAGAACACCACCACCGCCCTGTTTAATAATAGGTCTTTACCTATGAAATTGCCGTTTTGTATGCAATAAGTACTTATTTTCTCAAACTTTTTTATTTCTGTTATTCGAAGTAATCACCCATGCAATCGACGCATCTTTGCCAAGGCATTGGCAGTTTATTCTTGTAAAAATCAGCTGGACGAGAGGCAACAAACTCTTCAAAGGCATTTTGTACTGCCTCTCGGGAATTGAATTTTTTACCCACTATAAAGTTGTCTAAATTTTGGAAAAAGTAATAGTCGGTAGGTGCAAGGGCCGGTGAGTATGGCGGATGAGGGAGAGCTTCCAACCCCAGCTCTTGCAGCTTAGAGACTGTCTGTTGCGCAGTATGGGGTCGCGAGTTGTCGTGAAGGAGCAGTGGGGACGACCGATTGACCAAAGCTGGTTGCAGATGTGCAAGCTTCTCCATCATTCTCTCCAGTTCTTCACAGTACACATCTGCATTAATGCTCATGCCGTTTTGTAAAAAGCTGTGGTGAATCACACCCGCACTAGACCACCAAACAGTGACCATCACCTTTTTAGGGGTCATTTTTGGTTTAGGGCATTGCTTTGGTGCTGAACCAGGGTCTAACCAACTTGCTGAGCGCTTTCGATTGTCGAACAGAATCCATTTTACGTCGCACGTAACAATTCGTTTCAAAATTCCTTCATTTCTTTGCCTGTTGAGCAGCGCAAGGCAGGTCTCGACGCGTACGTTACGCCGGCGATCGTTAAGGTCATGGGGCACCCATCTATCAAGCTTTTTTACCTTGCCAATTTGTCGCAAATGGATTAATATCGTTTTGATGCTTACATTAAAAGCTGCTGCTAGCTCAGCTGTAGATTGAGTTTCGTCAGCTTCCACAATCGCCTTTAATTCATTATTGTTAACCAAAGTCTCCGGACGACCACGAGCTTCATTTTTCAAGTCAAAACTTCCAGAACGGAACCGGGAAAACCAATAACGGTATGTGCGTTCGTTTGTACAGTTCTCTCCGTAAACGTTTTAGATGTTACGTGCCGTTTGTGTCGCGTTGATCACACGACGGAACTCATATTCCATAATTACACGAATTTTTAAAGTATCCATTATGACGAAAAATGTTCAAATGTAATGAAAATACAACGCTAATCAAAAAACAAAAGACTGAGTTTGTAAATAGAATGTCATGGTTTTAAAACAAAATTAATTTGAATTAGAATACAGAGCCATTACAAACTTTTTTTTATTTGAAATGACCAGTACTCAAGAAAGGCAATTTCATAGGCAAAGACCTAATATTAAGACAATTAATAGCGCGATCGCGTCTATATAGTACATATCGGCCATCCGTTACCTCAGAATCAAAAATACTACTCACAAGCCAGGTCTCCGTAATTACTATGACATCGTAATCACTGCACGCAATTCTACAATAGAAATCTGTTAATTTAGTTCTCATGCCACCAACATTTTGGTAATATACTTTCAAACCATTGAGTTTTAACACCAATAATGCCAAGAAGATACATTACAATATATAATAAAATTTAGATCTAATCATTCTAATTTCTTAAGTAAATCTAAACTATTAATGTGTATATATTGAGAGTCATCCGACTTTCTCATAAATATCCTTCCATTTCAGATCCAAACATACTTGTAGCTCAGCTCTTTGCCTCTTTTTCTGGCTGCGGCATGGATTGATTTGTTCCCAGGGGATAGATGTTCGGTGATGTAGATGCTTTCTTTTTACCCGCAATACCGATAAGACTGCTATTGAGCTTTTTGCTATTGTCGTTGCTCTTGCTCTTGTTAAATTTAATAGATGCGGCGAGGAAACCGTCGCGAATCTTTGGGCTGCTAAATTGTACAATAATCGACTTCGGATGAGTACTAGTTGGGTTCTGTTTAGCAATCCGTGTAGTGTTGTGAATATTACTCTCAGTCAGTTCAAAGGATATTAACATTGCTAATATTCATGACCGTAGACACGAGATTCTCGCTTTTGAACTCAGGTACGCACTGAATTTCCACATTACACGAACGTGAATGTTGCTCCATTAGGTTCACTTTGGTAGTTAGATTCTTTACCGCGTTCTTAAGCTCTTAATTTTCCTTCTTAATGTCATGTATCTGGCTATGTCTCTCAGCTAATCCAGCTCTCATCTCCTCATATTGGTTGTTAATAAATGTCATTGATTCCTTTACTTGAACTATTTCGTCCTTGATAGTTTTGAGTTCTTTATTATCGTAGTTAGCCAGAGTTTCATTGCAATGTTTGATAAGCTCTTTGATTTCGCGTTGCACAATATTCGTTACTATTCTCGATGTAACAGGAGCATCAATCTGTGAATAGTCTGGGTTATCGGTGGTAGTTGTCTTTTTACGCCGCGTTATATTATCCTGGTGACCGCTGGGCGTTTGAGTTGCAGGATTATTGGGCATTATGAAGAAATTAATAAATAGTAATAAACACCCCCGTGTACCGTAATAAATGCCAGCTGCACTGCTATGCGTCGATGTCAATGTAATAAGGCGGCGTCCGTGGTGCAAGTTAGAAATCCACGAGAAAGCAGGCTTAAGCTCCGCGAAGATAGCGTCGCTAACGCGTTCGGCACAAACAGTCTATTCACTCGGTAATGTCTATCGTTTCCAAGGACATTTCAGTCAAGTATGATGTTTTAGTCGAATATATGTAGATCAAATAAGGATTTAAAGTTATCACCAATAGTTAGTTATTTACCTTAACTACAAAATGAGCGTAATCTTAGAACGTACAAGTCAAGAAGTTTTCTTCTCGTTCGGCGGCTTCCTGCACTTTGCACACTTTTCTTAAAGTTTCAGACGTAGAATCCTTGCGATGTTATTTTTTAGTAGTTTTATATATCCATCACTGGCAACACCAAGTCCTGACAATTTGACGTAACTCTAATAACGAAACAACTATGTGTTTGAGGGTAGGCCGAAATTTTATTATTTCGTAATTGTCAAACACGTATTTCTTTAGATTTTTAGACGAAATCCATCCACGAATAGCGCTATTAAGCTTTTACAGCAGAAATTCAATTTAGATGAACACAAACACTTTCGCGACTTGACACACTTGACATGACTGTTATTGCGTTTATAACTAGCACAAGGGGGCAAGAGGGTACCAGAGGAGTGAAATAATATGGGTTAAAGTATGGAATTGCCTTTTTATAGCAGTAGCTACTTTGAATTGACATAAAGCCTTAATGGTGTGAGATTTTCGTGTGAAAGTTTTTTCACCTAATACCTATGAGGTTTTTTTTAATAAATGTGCAACGTTCGATTTTCTACTTTCAATTGTTTTTTTAATCAGCTTAGACGTGAAAGAATAGTACTTCAAACATCCGAGTCATTTTTTAATACGAGTTCCGACGCGGAACTAACGCGGCAAAAACGGCTCGCAATATCAACGCTGCGTTTGGAGAGGAGACTGCTAAATAACGCACCGTGCGTTTTTGGTTTAAACGCTTTCATAATGAAACTTCGACTTGAAAAACGAATCACGTGGAATACCGCCATCACAGGTGAATGATGCTAAATTGAAGGAGATTAGCGGAATGGCTTAACGTTATCCTACCTATAATATTGACTAATTTTCATCAAATCAATAAGATAAAAAATATGAAAAATGGGTGCCTCATAATTTGACTGATCTGCAGAAAGAAATTCGTGTTGAAACTTGTTGCCTTGTTGAATCGATATACAAGGAATATTGTGACATAAGATGAAAAGTAACTGGCTTACTAAAACCGTAAGCGAAAAATGCAATGGCTGACCCTAGGTCAAACGCCGCAAAAGCAAAGATTACCAATATAAAGGTAATGGTAAGTATTTGATGGTCTCTTCTTATTGTTATTCACTATAGCTTTCTCAGGTCTGGTCAGGCAATAAAAGCAGATGTTTACTGTGCCGAACTTAAAACAATGATGGCGAAACTGGCAGTGAAACAGCCCCGTCTCCTGAATCGATCTTCACCATTATTGCACCATGATAACGCAAGATCTCACACTGCAAGAGAAACCGTTAAAACTCTACAGGAGCGCAGTTAGGAACCATATGTCATCCTCCGTACTCGCCAGACCTTGCTCCAACAGACAACATTCTTTCTTTGGCTATTTCGCAAAATCAAAACTCAAAATCACATGTTTCTCTATCTAGACCTACCAGTAACCAGCTAATTTCAAGTCCATCAACAAATAAATCGACTGCTGTTCAAAAACCTCCAATATCAAACGACCTAAAAAACTTTAACTTTATAGTTTTAAACTTGCCTCTTACTAATGAAAATCGCAATAAATAAGACACTTAATCCAGTTATGGTTAGGAAAGAGTTTATAAACAATATTATTTGCTACTCAAAAATGTATCATGTTGGTTTCCTAAACATTATTGCAATAAGTAGGTTACTTATTACGGTTATGATTAGTAAACATTCTTTTTATATACTAATCATACTAAACATAAGTAAATTAAAGTTCAAGCGACGAACTTTAATCGCCAGGTGACATCGGGGCAAGCGCCACGTGCGCACGCAAGCCATTTTGGCACGATATATCATTCAAGTTTTGTGTTTATTTATCATTAGGTAAGTCTAATTTCATCAAATTCGTCAAAAAAAAAAAGTTTAAAGAGTAACTTACTAAGTAATGAATAATATTTCGATAGGCCAGCTAAATCTTCATAACGATAAAATAGCTACATCAGAATTAGACCGTTTAATTTTAGAACAAAAGTTAGACATTGTCCTTTTACAAGAACAATATCAGAGCGCTCACTTGCGTCGTAATGTAGTACAGCTTGACTGCCGTTCGCAGGCTGGGATATATGTTGCAAGTTCTAATTTTACGGTAACATCTTTGCGTAATCTTATGACGTCACACTGCGCCGTTGCTGAGATCTCATCCTCTACCTGTAAGGTTTACGTAGTGAGCTGCTATTTTCAATATTCACATCCTATTGATCCTCACTTACATCACTTACGTTACGTCTTGCAGTTCCTCGTGGGACATAAAATTATCATTGGCGCTGATGTCAATGCGTCATCTTCATTATGGTATGGCAAGTTGCGTTCAACCGACACGGTTCGACGTTGTGCGGTTGAAGATTTCATTGCGGAAATGAATCTTATTATTCACAATACCCCCGATGCACCACCAACTTTTTGCAACCCAATGGGTGAGTCTTCTATTGACGTGACGCTTACGCGCGGTGACGTCTCGATATCCGGATGGCGTTTCCTTCCGGACGCATCCTGTAGTGATCACCGCTTGATCGTGTACGAATTCATACCAAGGGTTGCACAGGATCCACAAAGGGCTTCCTATAATTTCAGATATAAAACTAAAGGTGCGAACTGGGCTTTGTTTGGTTCACTCTTTGCAACTCATACCAAAGACTTCAGTCGCAGTAGTTTATCAGCTGAGGAAAGCGCAGAAATACTATCAGAAACTTTTACATACTGCGCTGATGTAACTATTGGTCGCGGATCTATCACTAACACTCGTAGATGTGATTGGTATAATGATAGATTAGCCGAACTACGTAGAAGCTACCGGAAAGCTCGTAGAAAATTAAACACTATTAAAAAACATAACGTAACAGGAGATTTGTACAACAATGCTCTCATTGCTCTTAGAGTTGCCAGGTCCCACTACAGAGCTGCTGTGGAAAAATCCAAGGGAAACTTAATTCAGAAACTTGTTGATAAACTCGATAGAGAGGGCCCGTGGTCACCTTTGTATCACGAATTTAAGGCAAATAGATCAATCGACCTTGCATACATACAGAACATCAAAATTAATAACAGATATACCACAGGAGTAGAACAAACAGCAGAATATCTTTTAGACTCACTCGTACCTGACGATCGACCGGAAAACGACACTGATCATCACCGACAGATCAGGCAGTGGGCCATCGAACCACCACTATCTCCAATGTCTGATTTACCATCTTCAGACGAATTTCTCGGTATCATTAGATCCTTGCCGCTAAACAAGGCTTCGGGCGATGATAAAATATCTAACAAAATGACAAAAGAAGCTTGTAAACTTTCGGGTGACACGATTTTCACTGTCTTTAAACGTTGCATTGCTGAAGGAATATTTCCTCGTATATGGCGGTGCGGTAATATTCGTATAATACCAAAAAGTGGCGACAAGCCATTGTTACCATCGTTAGGAAAGCTTTTAGAACGTCTTGTAGTGCCCCGGCTTCTGCCAGGTGGAGTCAAATTTCATGATAGACAATTTGGATTTACGTTGGGTAAATCGACAACTGACGCTGTTATATCGGTTAGAAAGTTTGTCACAGCATCAAAATTTCAATACGTGCTGGCTATTTTCTTAGATATATCTGGCGCCTTCGACAACGCATGGTGGCCCATGCTGTTGCTGAAATTAAAATCACGGGGGTGCTTTAAAAATATTTATTCCCTTATCTCTTCGTACTTTTCACAAGGTACAACTAAACTAAGACTTGGTCATCATTCTGTGTCGAAGGCGCTTACAATGGGATGTCCTCAGGGATCGGTGCTAGGTCCATACTTGTGGAATATCGGCTTCGACGATTTTCTTGCGATACCAATACCATCCGGATGTACTCTGAACGCGTATGCTGATGACGGCTTATTACTGGTGGAATCTGATACTAGGGCGGGGCTTGAGAGATTAGCCAATAGATGTTTGAACTTGATATCTCAATGGGGTGAACGTAATCGTTTAACTTTTGCACCCAACAAAACCTTCCAGCTACTTTTAAAAGGTAACCTCAAATCACCGCCGAGCATTAGATTTGACAATGTTACTGTAAAAAATAAAACCACAGTGTGTTATCTAGGATTAGTTTTAGAAAGAAACTTTTCATTTATCGAACATATTAAAATAGTTAATGAAAAGTCTAAAAAGAGTTTCTGTGCATTGACAAGGATATCAACTGCGACATGGGGTCTATCATTTAATACATTAAAGATCATATACGGAGCTACTTATTTAGGTTCTATGTGCTATGGTGCACCTGTATGGGCCGATAGGGCGACCGTAGGCGCTGTCCGTCGCAAACTGTTACAAGGCCAACGACTTGCACTGATATTCTTGTGTAAGGCATATAGGACGGTTAGCACTGAGGCTTTGCCGGTGTTGGCGGGTGTGCTTCCGGTCGATCTCGAGGTGCAGAGACGTGCAGCCATGTACTATTCAAGACAACAAAACATGGAATGCGATTTTTTGGGAGCGCGGGATCGCGGTAAAATTACAAGATTGCTTCAAGAGCAGCCCGATGTCTATAACGACCTCATAGACGAATGGCAACAACGCTGGGATGAATCATCCAAGGGGCGCCATCTTTACCAATTCTTTCCATCTGTTCGCGAACGGTTGTCGAGGATATGGCTTGAGGTGGATCACTGTGTCGCTCAA